TAATCACTGTCAGATATCATTCACTTGATCCAACTATGCCACGTCACCACTGTGCCGCGACCCCCCTGTGCTGGGTTTTTTAATAATTGCTCCGTAAAAGTTACAATACTAAATCATTAAACATCGATTTGATACAAAATTTAATTACTATTTTACTACTTGATTACTACTTAATTACTACTTGAACGAGGGAATTTTTTTCAATTTTTGAGGGTAATGTCTTCGACTAGATACGATTTGTGATCTTTTGACATATTGTTCATCAAAATCGGTCCAGCGAGAGCTGAGATTGAGCGTTCACAGACACAAAAAAAAAAANTTTGTGATCTTTTGACATATTGTTCATCAAAATCGGTCCAGCGAGAGCTGAGATTGAGCGTTCACAGAAAAAAAAAAAAAAAATAAAAAAATAAAAAAAAAAACACATCATAGTAAAATTAATACCTTCTCAGCTTCGCATCGAAGCTAAAAGTATCAATTACTTATGATAAATCTCAATTTCATAATTGAAATAATAATTATGTATAGTTCGAATAAATAAACTTCCTTTTTAGCTTCGATGAGAAACTGTGAAGGTATAATTTTACTATGGTCTATTTTTTTTTTTGTGTCTGTTACCACTTTTTCTCAGCTCTCACCGAACTGATTTCTTTCAATGATACGTCAAAAGATCACAAATCGTATCTAGTCGAAGACGTTACCCTCAAAAAATTGAAAAAAATTCCCTCGTTCCCCGTAAATGGGAGAAACCTATGTAATCGCTATATATGGATCAGTACAATTTTTTCATGAGGAGTAGTATTTATATACATCTTTCATTTGACATACTGTTTTTTTAAATCGGACCATTTCCCTATATACGAGAGGGGTTCAAATCTAAAAAATGCATGTAGAAAGTAGAACTTTTTTTTATCACAATAAAATTAACTTTTGAAAGTGTTCCGGAAAATCTGACACTTTTATATATATCTTAAATTAAAGCTAATGTAATATACTTTATTATGCAAAAAAAAATTTCGGATTNAACCAATACCTTCTCAGCTTCGCATGGATTTTATTTTGTCTTCACGGTGAAAATAGCTACCAAATGCTATTATTGTGTGAAAATTCTCGATTTTATTTTTTACATTTTTAACTTTATAATAATATAACTTATTGAAAAGTGTATGGATTAATATAATTTTTTTATGAGAAATAATATTTATATCCCTCTTTCATTCGACATACTTTATCTTAATCATGATATAAATAATGGAAATAGCAGATCATGTAGCTTTTAGAATAATCCACCAATTTTTTAAAATTAAACACTACCTAAAGATTTGCATCGAAGCGTTTTTTTTTTATAGTGACTTTAATTACTGTCAGATATCATAATACTTGATCCTACTATGCTACGTCACCACTGTGCCGCTATCCTCCTGTGCTGGGTTTTTATATATAATTCCATACATATTTTTTGATATACGTTTTTCATATAGGCAATGAAATGTACAACTACTTTATCATTCTTCAGTAAAAATTGCAATATTAAATTTTGAATATTAATTTCATACTAAATTAAATTGCTTTCAGTATTTATGAATGCATTATATTTATAAATCATAAGTCTTCAGAATATAATTAAGCAAATAATTTACTTTTTGAAAAATCCAACAATTCTTTCTAAAAATTATACACTATCTATGATTTGCATATATATTTTTTAAATAATTTAGTTTTAAGCTTAACACATAGTATATATAAATAAACAGTCATCTAAAAAAGTAATTTTTTAAAGAAGTTACGCAAAACCTTTTTATTTTTTAAGTGACAATTAAGTTGCTCTCATTTATTTAGACCGAAAATTTTTTGCGTAAAAAGTATTTAACAAATTTGTTAATAACAAAATGAATAAAGAATGATCTTTAAGTATTTAATAACAATTTTTTCATTATATTCCTTATTAAATTTAGCCTATTCAAAATTTTTAAAAAATAATGTATGATTCTATATAATAAAAAGTCTTTACGTGATACTTTTTTATGAATTCTAAATAAAGCCTATAAAATATCAATTATTCTAAGTTGTTCATTCTTATTATATCTTATAACTTCTTTATTCTAAATAATCCATTCAATTAAAAGTTCAAAAAATATAAATATCATAAAAAACATAATGTAACCAGTGTAATCCATTCCGTCCCTATCCTTTCCCTTTTTCAATAACAGTCGATTTTACCTATTATATCACGACCAAAGCAATGAACACTAAGGTTGCGTAAAACAACAATTTTTAATTATTAAAGATTTTAATACTGAATTAGGTTTGATTACAACATTTTTGCATCGTATAATATATATATTTAACTAACAACCACTGCATAAAAGTTTTTTTTTTATTACAAGAAATTCCTGTAATGAATACATTTAATAATTTGCATTTTTATTTATAACCTTGGTTATACCATATAATAAGCAAAATATAAAATATATGAATATTTTGTTTTATTTCGAGTCCAGCTAGATCACTGTACCCCCTCTTTTAATCTAACATTCAAAGTCACATACAAAACTGATTGAGTATTGATTTAATAAGATAATTAATAATAATATAATAATTATATTGATTCTGTTGATAAATAGAAATTTATTCTTGAAAATATATATATGTATGTATGAATAAATATATAATAATTATAATTTTTTTTTTAGCAATATAACATATGTATATTAGAGAGATATTAAACAAACGATAATCTTTAACTATGATTATGTCAAATTTAGACTAAGACAAGTTTTAATAAAATTTAATATTTATTCATATATATTATACTAAGACTTGCCTAGCTGCATATCCGGCCCAGACCTCATAAATAGGCCACTGATTCTTAGGGTAGGAGAACCCGGCTACGCATCTTATTATACAGAGTGTTCAATAAGTTCGGAAACACCGATTTCTTAGAACCACTATTGATTTTTTCAACAATTTTTTTTGAAAAATTTAATTGAATAATTAAATGCATCTTTTATAATTAAAATTAAAGTTCAACCCTAATGCAAAATGGTATAAATCTACCCTAACTTAAGAAATTTAAGTGACAACCCCTAATTTTTCTTACTCATTTGAATAGAGAATTCAATTTTAAAAAGAATTATGGTGAAAATAACTTTTTATATAAAACCATTTTTAAATTATCGTCGTTTTAAGGGTAGAAAAGTGTCCTATTTAAAGGCAGATTTTGCTATGATCATTTTTATGAATTTAATTTTATAAAGATGATATCAATTGCAAATTATCTCCAAATTTATTAAGAAAAAAAAAATTTTTATTAAAGCATGCTAAAAGAACTTAAATGGACATTTTAAAAATCGCTCTCTTATACGCGATCTTTAATTGGGGTATTTATAGAATATAGCATTATCGGTCAATGCATATCATAATGTTTCCAGACTTTTTCCTATAGGAGTTTTAGCATTGGTATTTAACATACATAACTAGTGTACACTTTTATCTGTGACCGTTGAAACGTGTTCAATTGTTATAGTCGCTTTATCGACAATTAGTGTCATTTAAAGTACGCCATGCTGTCAAAACATATTACAGGTAGTAGTTAGAAGGTTTACACAAAAATTATCAGTGGTCATTATAACATTATTATTCAATACGCAAACAACGTTTCCAAACTTATTCCTATAGGAGTTGTAGTCTACTTTTCAACTATCAACTAATAATTATTTTTAATTCAGGTTAAAATAACTTGTCCATATTTTCTAATATTACAGTTGGATCTATCGACAGTTAAAGGATAGTTTGAGGTAAATTAAAGACTATAAAATAGTTTCTGATGCATCATTTTTTGATTTTGACTTTTATACTCATGCCGAAATCAACCTTAAGTTTTTAACCTGTACAGACATAAGATTATTTTTAATATTTCATTAAGTTATATTTTAGCTTCGATGCAAAGCTGAAAAGGTATTAATTTTACCATTATGTATTTATTTATGTTTTTTGTCTAAAGTCTAATGAAAGTTTCAAAATTTTAATTCATAGATGAATCTATAAGGAATATTTTAATCATAAGGGCTAAATGATAAGGGTTAAATGTATCTTTCCCCATTCTAAAAATAATTTAAATAACAATAAACATAATTTTCTAAATTTTTAAAAGACTTAGCCACTTCCTTAGTTTCACATATGGTTGTATTGCTCTATATACCATAGTAAAATGAATAAGAAGTATGCTCGATCACAGTCCGCATTTTCGTCGTAGTACGCGCAAGTGCATCGCCTTGTATTTTTGTGCATTCGTATACAATCGGTGAAATACGACCGCTGCCGAATGCACTTTAAAACCGGGCGATTTTTAAATTGATAATTCTGATATAATATATATGATAGACATAATTTTTAAGTAATAATTATATTAATTACTTTAAAACAACGCATTATAATAATATTTTATAATAAATTTAATCGTGGATACTTATTTTAGATTCTATGTATTTTTTTGTTGTAACTTTTGTATTTTAATGAAAAATTAGGATTTTGTACCTCGTTAATTAAACGTGAGCTATATTAACTAGTGTGCAGACTTATTTTTTTATGTTTTAACATTGAATTAACACCACATCAACTTGCTAATAACAGTTCTTATTATTTGCATGAAATTATTGTATTTTATTCATTTCTCTTCTGTGTGTTTCATAGTAGAGATATGTAACTTTTTAACTCATATTTGAGTATTTTAGCTTCGATGAGAAGCTGAGAAGGTATTGGTTTTACTAAGATGTGTTTTAGCTTCGATGCGAAGCTGAGAAGGTATTGGTTTTACTAAGATGTGTTTTTTTTTTTTTTTTTTGTGTCTGTTACCACTTTTTCTCAGNATTATATAATAGAACAAGGAAAAAAACGCTTTTCTGGGAAAATTACTTAGCGTGCTCGGATTTTCAAAAATTTTTTTTTCAACGAAAGTACTCGGTCACCAGACTCCGGGAAAATTATTGGCGAAGGTCGGAAAATTTTTGCCGCTCGCCCGCGAGCGTTTTAAAATTTCGACCGTTTTCGAGAAAAACGCTCGCTGACGCCAGCGTTTTACGACTTAAGGTTTGAAATTTTCATCAGACCCGCCCAATGACATTCCTGAGATATGATAAAAAAATCAATTCAATCCGTTCATTTTTTACCGTTTTACGACCATTTTTTTTTTTTTTTTTTTAAGTCCACGCGCATGGTTTTATTATGCGCAGTGATTCATTTCTGCTGATACGTATTATGAACCTTAATTATATGGTGTATTATGTATTATTATTAAGACACTATTTCGCAATTGCCCTATTTTTATCAAGGAATAATTTTCTTTTTTCACATATATGATGTATGAGACTATGAGTTTATCTTTTGAATTGGGGTTCATCCTAAAATAATTTTTGAATAGGCCTAAAGGGAATACCTCATTAAGAGGCTTCAACCTTATACCCAATACATTTTACTATATTCTCTTTTTGAATTTTCCTGATTTTAATAATAACATTTTTAGATATAGTTTTCTATAGTTTTCACTGATTCTGAAGTAATATTTTTTCTGAAAAACACTTATCGTGCCCGGCGTAGCCGGGTACTTCTACCGGAATCAGTGGCCTACTTATGATGACTGCCCGAAGAGACTTACGCGCCGAAGGCGCGTAAGGCTCGAAGGGCCCCGGGTCTGGGGCGGAGCCCCAGCTAGGCGGAGCCTAGTAGATGCATAATATCATTACCTTTCATTTGGTATATTTTTTTCATAAATTTAACCCTTAACCTGCCCACAAGGGGGGATTTAAAATGACAACTTTTTCACAAAAAAATAACTTTTTCAACTGAACTTTTGAAAATGTTCTGGAAAGTCTGACACTTTTATACAGGGTGATTCATTAAGGATAAGACACTCATTTTCTCGGTAACTATTGAAAATTTTTAATTTTTGGTAAGGAAAATATTTTTTGATTCAAAAAACTCTACAATAATATGTAGTAAAAACATAATTTTTTTGATCCCTTCAAGGTTAAAAAACATTAATTTGCATTTTCTTAAATGGGAACCCCTATTTTGAATTTATTGTTATGATTGAACATAAAAATACAAACAACTTTGCTCTTACAATTTTTTTTTCCGATCAGCCGTTCGTCTGTTACAGCTTGTTAAAGTTAAATAATTTTGGACTAAATTTCTATTGTTGTTTTAATGTTTTCAATACAGAAGTCACTATTTTTCTATAGTGTAATATACACTATTGTTATTGACCAAGATATGACAAGTAAGATAGCAATAATAATTTACGGCACACTAATTTAACCATAATTATCTATTATTATAATATTAATAATAATAGATTCAAAACGGATCTTTACTATATTATTAATAGCACAGTCTATCAGTTTGTAAGACTAACTGTAATACTGAAGAACGAATTTCTTTAAAAAACCCAACCCTTCGCCTAGTATTGTGATTCTTAAAATAATCGAATACTTCGATAATGTTATCATAATCATTGCTTACACAAAGTAATCTTTTTGTTGATAGATACGAATTAAAAGTTGTAGCATAACATCATAAACTGTATTGAATTAAATACTAATTCGCCGCTGTATTACAATCACGCGTGATTAAAAATTCTTGTTCATTATTCAATAACACTTAACATAACCTTAGAAAACTGAATTGAGTATTAAATTAACTGGACATCTGTATACAAACTTGCGTTGTTTAACGTTTTTGTATATTAAATGTTTAATAATGTTATAAATATAGTGATTCAATGTAACATATTAATTATTTTATTTTTATATCGTTACAATTAATAAATTATATTTGAAATTTTATTGAGATCATTTAAGGAAAAAAATGTCAAATAATAGGTAAGTTCAATTACGAAACAATGCTTATATTGATCTGCTTTGATCATTTTCTTTTATCATATAGCCACAAGGAAAACTATTTATATTGGAAAATTAACGAAACAAATTACTTAAGAAGATATTTACATTTTTGGATTTTCGGCTGTTGAAAGACAAAATTACTAAGAATTTATACCTAAATGAATGAAAACCAATATTTTTCACTTTTTAGGAAAATTAATTTTGCTGTAGTGTGTTTTGTTACTTAAAAAGTAAGTACATATAATGATGTAATAATAGATGTGCAGTATAATTAGGGTCATATTTAGGGGAAGCTTCAGGCTCCCAAAAGAATAAGTTGACAATCTATTTTTTTGCTCATATTACATTTAAATGATCATTGTAATCTTGATTTTTTTACTAATTATTTTTCATTTATGACAATATTACCCAACTATTCCTAATGAGTATAATATGCTGAATAATATTGGTATACTTAATATAATAATTTTGAAACTAGCATCTAGCGTTAACTATTTTTAATACATTTTTTTATTAGTTAATAATTTATTTAGGTAGTATTTATACTACACTTTAATTTTTTTGTAAAACTTAATAATTTTTATAGTTAGGGAAACAAATTTGATTTTATGAAGTAGCTTAGTTGTAAAAAAAGTAGTTATTAAAAACTTAAGTATAATGTGTATGCATCAAACCATATTTATAAGTATTCTATTTTTTTAGTTATATGAAAATTGAACTATGACTTAATTGAAATATTGGTTAAAATTTGATTATTAATTTGTAATTTTAACTCTGGCAATGATTTTAAATAAAATATTGCATGAGTCTAATTTGTATATGACAATAATTGTGAAATTACATAATTGGAGTATGGGAAATAGTGAAATATTTAGTAATTTAAATAAAAAATAATAACTTTATTTATAATAAAATAAGTACTTAGAATTTTTCTTACATTTGTCAATTTAAAGTTTTGTATACATTTTTTAAATAAAAGATTATTAGGCATAATCAAATAATAAATTTTCAACTCTGGGCAAAAAATAATAAACCTAAAGTATGTATACCTAATTAAAAAATTGTATGAAGTAGCTACTGAATATTAATTTTCCATTTAATAAAAATAATTTTATTTTTGATTGTGTTTATATTTCACTGTAGATGTTAAGAAAATATTATGCAACTATTTTGATAAGTTTATAAATATTTGATTAAGCATGCGTAGATTTGAATAAACATAATTTTAATTTTACTCTGTAATAATATGTGAAAATTTGCACAAATTATAATTATTATAACTTGTTACATAAGTCGTCATCCATAAATTCTTTTAACAATATTTTTTGTATTGTAAATTAAGTTTTTAGTTACTTCTTCATACATAATAATTTAATTAAAAATTTGTTGTTTTTAATTTAATTTTTAGTTTTAATACCTGCCGTTGTAAGTATCTGTACTTTTAAGTATGCACTTGTAATTAAGATACTTTGATATCATAAAATTAATATCCTAATTATATTAAGAAACAAAAATGATTTAATCATGATTTTGCTATTGTCATGACTATATCATGAAAAAGAGTCACATATCAAATAAATGCACAGTTCTCAAAAAAACTTAAGTGAGTTTAATAAAATAAATTTTGCTTTTTAGCATTACCATTTTTATCCCATGTAAGTTAATTTAATTTGTTTTAAATTTAATTTCAGTTACAAATATGATGTCTATTGGTTTTGTATACATGATTCTAAGCATATAAAATTAGTAAGCTTTAATTTCTTCTATCAAGTATAAGAATATTGTGAGATCAATATTAGAATGAATTGTTATATTGAAATTACAGTATTGTAGTTAAATCTCTTGTATGTTAATTATTCTTATAGTAATACTTTTACTTTAAAAAATTAAAACTATTGATAATTGTTAAAATTGAACTTAAAGTAAGGTAATGTTTTAGAGTAATACATGTAGTTATTGGAATACTTATCTGATTAAATTCAATTAGAAGGAGTAGTAAGAAAAAAATTAGCTTAAAATTTAAGGTAGGAATAATTGATGTTTTAAATACAATGTGCAAGTACTTAAAACAACTATATTAAAATTATTATTTTTATACATATTATTTCTACACAGTTACATCAATGGCTTGTTTAAAGATTTGTGCTATCAGTCAACAAATATTTTCATTATTTTTTGCTTACAACTGAGAATGGTTTATTTATTACTACAGTAGAACCTTAATGAGGCATAATACTTTCTGTTCCCTCGAATCTTATTTACTCAAAAAAAAAAAAAAAAAATATAGATAATACAAAGAAATTATTTGAAGTTTTATAATAAACTATTATTATAGTTATAAACTATCAATAAACAAATTGTTTTATATTATGTAATTTCATAAAATTAAAAAAAAAAAATGATTGTGAGATTGGCAAAATGCTATAAACTTTCAATAATAGATTGCAAAAAATAAATAAATCTAATAGTAATTGTTAATTTTTTTAATTAAAATAGGGCAATGTAATAAAGTAATATTGTAGTTATTATAGGACTCTTTTTATGATGTAATATTAGAGGGATTAGTAAGAAAATATCTTAAAATTTAAGATATATGTAATTGTTATTTTATATGTTACATTCAAGTATTACCAATTGGAATCAATCTGTTATATTTTTATAAATAGGTGTTGAATACAAACTCAAATTCTTAAATAATTTTAAGTCAATTTTTTATTCAAATAATCAAATAATCTTAAACTTTTAAATGTATTTTTCTGGTACACTCAATATGATTATTTGTTCAGCTAAAACTTATTTTATTACCAATTGGAATCAATCTGTTATATTTTTATAAATAAGTGTTAAATACAAACTAAAATTCTTAAATAATTTTAAGTCAAATTTTTTCTTTTAATAGTTCAAAAACCTTATTAAGTTAAAAAAAATAATTTCTCTTGAGCTTTAACTTATCCAGGTTCCACTGTATTTTAAAATTGGCATCAGTGCCGTGCCAAGAAAAGGGCATAGGATGATATAAGGTTCATACACTTTGCAATATTTAATTGTTATAATTGACAGTTATTTAATATTAGAGGATGCTAACATATAATTTAAAAAAAAATTATATATATAAATTTTATAAATTAAAATAAATAGATAATAAATAAATTTTTACTTATTCACTTTTCATTGTGTCAGTGCTATATTTTACAGTTTTTCTTGTGTTTCAAAGAAAGTAGTTTAGGTGGGATAAATTTCTTCCGATAAAAATTATTACATGATGAAGCTATTATTACTTTTTTTTTAAAGGGAGTAATAATAGTTATTCAGAACAAAAACTCCATACTAGACCTAACCCCAAGACCTATACTAGTGGAGGCATGATTGCAATGCATTTTATGAGGAAACAAGGTTTTTTTTTGTGAAACTGGTTTTTTTTCATTAGGAATTGTTGAAATGTCTGTAGGAGGGTTATCTTTATACTTAATTTTCTATGGCATTACGCATATTCTACATGAATTCATGTATTACACATATTCTGTCATGGAATAAAGTATAAAGTATAACCCTCATACAGGTGTTTCACAATTCCAAAGTGAAAAAAATTCTAAGTTGAGCAAAAGAAAAAAAGTTTTCTACAAAATAATGATAAAAAATAATTTAAACAGTCATTTCAAAAACCACCTAAGTAATAAAATTTAAATTTCCATGTATCAAAAAAAACTTAATAGCTCTAGAACTTGTTTTGCACTTACACCTATTTACTAATTTATTTTTAAGGTTTCTGGTATTCATAATTCATAGTTTTAAATAGTCTAACTTTGACCAAATTCATTAAATTGAAATAAAATATTTTTGATTTGCATTGTTTTTGCAGTGAATAGAAATTTATAATATGAAATCTAAATCAAGAAATAAAATAAAATAATATATTTTTTTTTTCCTAAAAATTTAACTTATCTTAACTTGGTTATAGGTAACAACTTTTTTCAAAATAAAAATTTTGTTGTTTTTGCTTAATAAACCATTGCACTTTTAATAAAACATTTAAAAAAAAATAAAATATTTCTCTTTAATAACAAAAACTTAACTTGACAAAATGTTATAATACAGAAACATTTTTGAATGAAGTCATTGACTTTTGTAGTAAATATGAATCTGAAAAATGAAATTTTTACCCAAAATACATAAGTATACATAATAATGTATAATTATCAAATTTGACAAAGTCATTACTGAAAAATCAGTAACAAATGTAGTTTTTGAAATGACTGATTCAATTGAAGAGCTGGTTTCAAAAACAACCAGCATTTTGTATAACATACAAATTCATGCAATTTTGAGCCTTAATCAGGGTTGGGTAATAAAATGTATATTTGCTTTTATTTATACAATGCATAACACACATGTACTGGTGTTCAGAAAGTAAGGAAACAGGTCAATTGTTATAAACATAAGAACTATAGAAACCTGTTTCCTTACTTACAGAACATGTATAAAATGTATAATACTTTAAAAAATGTTTATTCTTTAATAGATCACACTGATTTTAAACCCTTTTATTTAATAAACATCAATTGATGATCTATATAATAAAAATTGATCACTTGTGGCTAATTAATTAAGTAAAATTAAAACTATATTAAAAATATTATTAATTTAAATTATTGATGATCTCATAAAATTAACAAAATATTAACTTTTTCATGTTTTTATATTTTATGTGATAAATTATGTGTTAGTCATTCTTGTGGAAATTTTTTGGGATTTCACCGATTATATTTTTATATTTTTAAAGTGAAGTAAAAATTAATTAAATAAATACAATATTTTAATATTAAAAAAAAATCTATTTTTAATTATGAATCATTTGTCATGATATTAGTATTGTTTGTAAAAAAGTAGATGTGTAATATGTACATACAGGGTGTTCAGTAAGTCAGGAAACGGGTTTCTATTGTTCTCATTGTTACAAACAATGAGAACAATAGATACCCGTTTCCTGACTTACTGAACACCCTGTATAATACTTATACTTTTATGTATTATAACTGACCCAACTCTGACCTTAATAGACAAACGAGCAAAAGTGTCATTTTGTTGAGGCCCACAAAAGATATAATATTTGATTTTTTGTTAATTATTTCTATTTACACAAAAATTTATTCATTTTAAATGTAAGTATAGTATGTTCATATTAATTATAAATTGTTTGTTCTAATAATAATGTATTTATCAGAATATAGACAAGATATAATAAAAATTAGTAATTATAACTAAACAATTAAAACATTGCAAAACATTTTTCTTNTTTTGATTATTTGACTGATACAGATATACTTGTTTTGAATCACTATAAATTTCATTAGTTTACTCAGTATGAATTTTATAAAACTTTATATCAATTTCGTCTAAATTTGTCAATTTCAGAAACATTTTTAATGATGCGTTATAATACAGCTATTTCATGCTCAATGTTTAACTGAAATTTGGAGTTCATGATTTCTAATTCTTTCTTCCTTAATAATTTTTGTATAATCGAAATTTTGACACCATCTTCATTAATATGATTTCACTCTAGCAGTTCTGTAAATTTATTTAAATTTTAGCTTCGATGCGAAGCTGAGAAGGTATTTTTTTTTGTGTCTGTATACTCTCAATCTCAGCTCTCACTGAACCAATTTTGATGAAAAATATGTCAAAAGATCACAAATCGTATCTAGTTGAAGACATTACCCTCAAAAATTGAAAAAAAATCCCTCGTTCTTCGTAAACGGGGGAAATCCCCCAAAAAATTACAAATTTAAAAATCGCTAATTTTCGATATTTTTTCATTTTTTTTTACTTAAAATTGCCATAACTTTTTTAAAAATGACCGAATCAATATGATTTTTTTTTTTATAGATACCTTAGATAATTACCTATCATTTTATATATTTTTATGAACATTTAACCCTTTAACAGCCCACAGGAGGGATTCAAAATATTAACTTTTTTTTTTTTAGTTAAAGTAAATCATTAGAATTAATTCAGTTCTGGATATTTCAATTGTAGAATCTTTTTAAATACCAAAACTTACTTAGAAATGATTATTATAATTTCTATTTAAGTGTTCTATTACGATAAAAATGCAAA